AAAATCAACTTTATTTATTTCATTGTCAATAGTACAAAGTTTGACCATTCCTTCATATGAATAGCCTTTTTCCAATAAATTTTCCGTTAAGTGATAATGCAAGTTTACGGACTCAAAGACACATTTACTGCCCGATTTTTCCAAAAGATTTTCACTCACTAAGTTCCTATTTATATCCGAAACATGTAGTACATTTGTGAGAGTAACATTATTCCTAGAAGTGAAGATAATTTCTACACTTCATTTTCCAATTACTTTGGACCGCACCTCGTTATCCATTTGGATTTCTTAGTCTCCATCCACTTCATTGTATATTTTGAACAAAGATTTGTCATGTGATACATGCACCGTGGCACAAGTATCATACCACAAGCCGTGAATCTTTCCCTTAATTACATTTATTTCGCTCACCGTGACCACAATCTTGTCTTGTTGGATGAAATTCACTTTACCCTCGGACTTGTTGTGTTTTCGGTATCTACAATCTTTTGCGCAGTGTCCAAATTTCTCACAAACAAAGCATCCTCATTTGATCTTCTTCTTGAACTTATTAAGGTTCCTTGAAGGCTTCCTTTTGTTGGATTTTGTTGATGGTTCGGAATTTTTTACAACATTTACTTTGGAAGTGCCCTCATGAGAATCATTTTTATCACGTATTCTCGACTCTTCCTCAATCCAAAAATGTTTTTGCTGTTGTTCCAAAGAATAATCTTCGGAACTATACATTATCTTCTTCTGGTATCCTTTCCAAGTTTCGGGAAATTTGGCAATTATAGCCCCCACTTAAAAGGTCCTCGGTATTTCAATTTTCTCCGCCTTCAACTTATTGACAATTACTTTCATTTCATTTATTTGGGGAAGAAGGGGAATATTCTCCAAAAATTTAAAATCGAAGTACTTAGAAATTAAAAAAAATTTTGTACCTTTGTCTTCCGCTTTGTACTTATTTTCGAGCGCATCCCAAATTTCCTTTGCTGAAGTTGTGTTTGTATATAAGTCATACAAACGATCCGATAATACGTTGAGGATGTGACCGCGACATATTAACTCATCTTCTTGGCACTTTTGTCTTTCATTCCTCACTGCTTCGGTTTCTCCATTTGTTGGTTACGATAGTGGCGCCAATTCCGGATCTATGATGTAAAAGATCTTTAGTGCAGTGAGAAGAAATTTCAATTTGTCTTTCCATCGAGTGTAGTTCATTTCATCGAATCGATCTAACCGCACCAAGTCTTGATTCATGAGTTTGATTGTCGCCAACGTTGTCTCGCTGTCCATTGTAGAAATGTCGTTTGAGATTGTTGGAGAAAATTCACCAGATTGGAGTAGAGATCACAAAATATGAATCGGAAATCCGAATAACAAGATAATATCGAACTTGTATCAATGAATGACTTGAACACGATATCGTTGTCCTCAAATGATATTTGCCCCCTTCTCCTATGAATTTGAGATGTTTCGAAGGTTGTTGGCAAATGATTTGCAGAATTATAACAAGTCTTGCAATAATTTAAACACCAAAGTACAAGTGCAAATCCTATAAAACTTGAAGAACACAAAGAATGTATATGAATATGACTTTTAAAGACTTTGATCCTTGATTTTGGAAGTAATATGAAACCTTTATAATGTGTTTGCCTTCAACATGGATCCAATATATATATGCATACACTACATTCACGAAATGGTACCAAACTTTAAGCCAAAAGTGACTAATTTTGAATTTACAACGAGAGAAAACAGCCTGCAACGATCAAATAATTGCACCATGCGACCGCATGGTACAAACCCATGCGGTCGCATGGTTTGCCCATGCCGAGACCATTTGGTCTCGACATTAGGCCATGCGACCGCAAAGACCTTTTTTTTTTTTTTAATTATTGTTGATTTTGAACAACATTATCACATCGCTATGCCCGAGTGAGCAACAAAAATCAGGGATAGCCTCAAAACTTTCTAAGAGGATAGCAAGGCTTCAATATTAGGAGCGAATGCCAGATCTCATAATTCGTTCAGAAATGGGGATTTGGTTGCTGTGCAAGGCATCATATGTTGACCTGTGAACTAGAAAATAAGGTATGAATATCTTTTCTCTCTTTCTCCTTAAAGAATGTGGTACTATACGAGATAGTAAATTATTGTATTTGGTTGCTCTGGAGATGTATTGTGTTAAATGGTTCACTATATTAAAGGTCATCGTAACCGAATTGCTTAGTCAATGTGTAGGGACTATAAGTTTTAATGACATGCTCATTGTGCAAGCCTTTCACTTGAATTGTTGAAATTTCAGGTCTATTTGATGATTATCCAAGTAGGGTTTGGAATTACCAGCCCAAAGAATTAGATTTCATATTTAATGAAAAGATTACTTCATAATTAAGGATCAACGACCAGAACAAAGGATTAGATCCCATATTAAATGAAAAGATTAGTTCATAATAAAGGATGAAGGACCACGGAAGATTAATTTTAATAATCTCTTACTCTACTCTAAACGGGCCTCATTAAGTTGACTAACCGCATCTAAACAATTGAAAAGACTGTTTTCACTCTCTACCATACTCTACTCTAACCGCAACTAAACAATTCGTTCAATATTTTTTTTCTGGAGTAACAGAAATAATTGAACGAAAAATCTAATTGATATCAGAATTCATACAAATAATATGGAATGACTAATCATACACTTCGATAATGCTTAAAACCACTTCAATATTTTTGGTCATCAACAAAAATAGATTGGGGGACTAAAGTTCTAACTATCAAAGAAAAGTTGCTTTGGCAAAATGTGTTTTGAGTTTAGGTCATCATCTCAAATTAAGTGAAGTGACCTTAAAATATAAAAGAAATCCAAGTTTTCCTTATACGTATAATATATTATTAACAATATGTCTTAATCTCAATAGTCTAGTATAATACTATAAATCAAATGTACGTTCGTTGGTTCCTCCATCGTGAGAATTCGTGCGGGCGTTAACGCTAAAAGAAAAAACAAATGCATTGAAACTAAAACCATGACCATTCCACAATCTACGAGTTCTTAGTAGAATTCTTTATTTGGAGGTGAAATATCTAAAAGAGAAGTTGATGGGCGGCACGAAGAAGACAAATAGAAATGTGCAAAAAATAAAATGAAAAGAAACATTCAAAGGCATAGCATTTGCATTCTAAGAACAAGTCAAACATTGATACAACATGAATAACACATAGCCCACTCCTCCTCCATAACAACCACTCCTTGGACTCTAATCATCCTTTTTTTTTTTTTTTTTTTTTAAATCTTGGTGGATGTTTTCAAGTCTTCAAAGTAATTAATAAGAGTCGATGCTATTATTCTCTCAAGATTATAGACATACTTATTTTTGTAGTTCGAAAAAATTTGATGCAAGTAATAATACTATTTAATAGAAAAATTGTCACTAGATCTCAACCAACTTTTCCGTTTTATGAGACATGGCATTTTTAATAATCCAGATAAAGTGAACTCGTCAACAGTTGTGAACAACTAATAAACATTAAAAAAATTTCATAATTTGTGCTTTTGTAATAATACTATAATCGTGCTATGTAAATTGAATGAACAAACACTACTACGAAATATACGGGCATAGAATGTGTATTTACAATAATCAAACAAATTCGAACACTAGTAAGTAAAAGAAAAAGTTGTTACTTTAGATGGGTCTTTTCCAAAAGAGTCGTGGTTCCATTATCGTCGTACAAACCTACCAAACTAAGCAAATTATTGCGTTGTCCATAGTAACACCACCATAATGAAAGGAACATGACGAAATTTCAATACCCAAAGCATGATATGTCCGAAAAATAAAAGAGTGGCTTTAATGAGAAAATGTCCTACAAAGAAATAATAAATGAATGCATATGGAGAAGATGATTCTTATCCAACTCTGACACCTCATCCAAACCAATCCTCCCAATTCTTCATCTTCAAGCAATTTAACATTTGAACACTCCACCCCTTTAGATAAATTATCTTCAATGTGAAAATTTAAATTAAATGAGAAATCATTATCGTGAGTTTACATTTGCACATCAAAAGTTATCCAAGTCCCATCTCTTTACAATATGTTTTAGTAATTCTTGATATTTTCTTTCTTTTAGCGGCATCGTTGACTAATCTTAAATAGAAATTTGAAATGCTTGACAACACGATTCACTCGTTCTCGTCTCTAACAATCAACCTTATTTATAACCAATATGGTTATTGTCTACACATCACTAGAATAAAGATCGAAAAAAACTTGGTAAACAATCTAAAGATAACATTGATTGGCCATTTTCTATTCCCGTACTAACAAACATATGAAAGGACAGAGATCAAGCCGACAGCAATTCAATGTTATTCGTACAACCAAAAATGTGTGAACTATTTATTACATTGTGCGAATATTTATTTATTAACACGAGAATCTAATGTGTTCATTAATCTTATTCCTCCCCCAGCCAGGGATGGATTCCAACACTACAAACAAACGGACCGCAGTTTCTACTCACGGCTTTAGAACCAGAACCAGAACCAGAACAAGAACAAGAAAAAAATAAAATAAAAACATTACTTTATTAACATTCAAATGAAGCATTCGAAAGGAACAAGAAAAGGAGCTGCCATAAACCACCTTCTTGAACCTCGAGCCAAACAAAAGGCTGAGTTGTTGCATCAACCGATTCACATTTATTTAGCCTAATATTAAACCTAAAAAACCATTTTCTTGTACTAACAATCTTCTTTAATCATCTTCTTCTACTTAATTAATACTGTCCTATTCTGCTGCTAATACACGTCCCACAAACTAAACTATCTCCTAATCTTCAACTTCATATCTGCTTTTCTGTAGAGATTTCAATGAAACAACTTCAATAGAGAAACCCAATTGTAATTTTGGTCAGTAAGTCCACTCTTGGGGAAGCCTGAGATGGTCTTGATTAGTCACTGGGACAGGTCTTTGATTTTTTCTCTGCTGTGCCATTACAAAATTATTTCCATACTTCACAGCAGCAGCTGCACAAAGAATCAAGAAATTGACTTAGCATATAAGAAATTAAAATAGTAAAAAGAATTGAGAATAGTAAGAAATAATCACCATAGTCAGGAGTAAAATTTCCATTGGCTCTGATTTGTGGTTGGGAATCCATGGATTCCAGGTTCAAATTCAAAGCCTGGACCACTCTGTCTGGTAGCAGAACTGTAGAACACCCTGCATTTGCCGAAAATAAACACTACATTAGTCAGAAATTATTAAAGAAGGTAGTCCATCAAAGACTTGCTGAAAATTCCAAATATTTGAACTAGACAAAACAAAGATTACCAGGTTTCACTAAACAGGAGTGAAACCATGTATGAACCATACACCTCAAAACTCACAACCATGTGACCACAGCTGAATAATGCTTAACATTAGCTTATCCAAAACTCACCAACTGCATGAACCTAATTTAACTACTCCTGCACATGAACATACACACTGTAGTCTAAAATAAGATTATGACCTGATTTCTTTCGAGTTTCGGTGGGGACTCCAACTTTTCTGGGCAAGAAAACACCGGTTCCAGTACGTTCTTTTTTAGTCCCTGTATCTCCAAGAAACAATGCCCTCATGCCTGAACCAGGCTGCTGTTGTTTTTGAGATTGTTGTACAGTGGACCAAGCATCCATTGACAACCCATTAGGCCTCACATTATTCTGAACCATTTGGAGGTACCCACTTTTCATTTGTCCATGTTGAGGCTGCTTCATCATCTGTCGTCCCTTCAAATGCAGGAACTGTAAATTTGAAGAAGAAAAAGCTCAGCATATGCACAACGCAGTCCAAACCGAGAAGACTTGATAGTAAACAATAAGCAATTTCTTCAACTTACTTGACTGGCCTGCAAATGTTGAAATAGATGGTAGGAATTGTTCGGGTAAAACCCAGAACCGCGATTTTGGTTGTTGGGTGGTACTGTAGCAGCACCACGTATTCTGGGAGGAACAGAAAGTCCCTCGACACCACCTTTGTAATTGTTAGAATAAAACCCAAGTGTTTCTTCCATCATCCTCATCCGGGCAACCTCTCGAGCAGCCGCAGACAACAAATCTAACGACGCCGAATTTCTACGGTTGGCATCCTGCGGGGATGACACCTTCGACAAGCAGCTGGGGCTCTGACGGTCGGAACCGAGGTTGCACCCGCAACGTCCCATAACACTGCATAGAGTTGATTGTGGAGAACCAGAAACCCAAGATCCCTGTAAAAAAAAAACGAAACCCATAATCAAGGTACTCTTTTCCTGCGACACTAACAATAAAGAAAAAAAAAATTAGAAAGGATATGCATACTTGATTATTATCAACTGGGTAACTGAAGTCTTGAAAAGTAGATTGAGCCATCTTGCGAGTTAACTCAGTCATGTAGTCATCCTCGTCGCTCTCTGTTTCTGTAGATCCCATCACCGACTCAACTGGTGAACTCAGATCCGAAAAAGGACCAATTGAGTTCCCAAACGTGAATGAAAAATCTTCTGTTTGCTTCGTCTGTTTTATTTTACTCTGGCCACTAATCAGTAAATCATCGTCAGTTAAAAACTGCGGCGGCAACCAGAACTTTCCGTCATCGAACTCTGCCGCCATCTTACACAATCTAATTCAACAACAAACTCTTCGGAATATACGTAAAGGGTTCAACAAACAAACAACGCCTACGAAAAAATATCAGATGACAGAAGGAAAAATATGTGACAATCAAAATTTAAAGCTACGTTGGGAAATGGATTGCTGCCTCTTGAAGGTTCAATTATAGTCACCACAAACCCAAGTAGTGCTCGCTCTTTCCCACAGGGTCCCACTAAATACAGAGAGAAGTTGCGAAAAAAAGTATGCGATTTCACAAAACGAAGGGGGCCGTGGAGAGAGAAAAGTAGCGGGAGGCAGACTCTGTTTTTATAAACAGAGTTAGTGGGGAAGGTGGAACCCTCGTTAGGCACAGAACCAAGCGCGAAAGTGGAGCGGAATCCCACTCGCCGCTGCAGAGAATTCGAAAATTGGAAAACAGTTGTAGCCAGGTATGACCGTGGGGTCTGTATCTGACCCAGATCAGTTGGTTCTCATGTGAGTTGCGGTGGGTCAGCCGTAAGCGAGTGGGGCCCAGTAAATATTTTATTTATTTATTTTAATTAATCGAAAAGGTTAGTACTATAGTGATAACGTGTTGGCCCGTTTCTAATTGGTTACTTAATGGTGGCAGACACTTGTCGTCGTCCACTGTACGCAGTACGCGGTAGTTTATGCTTCGCATGTAAGCAATTGGAGGGAGGTTTTAGGGTTTTAAATATACCACCGAATTGACATTTCTGCCACTGATTCCCATGCATGTTGACGAAATTACCCTTATTTAATTGGGGTCTGAACCAGGGCCCAGAGGGTCAGAATCAAGGTCGGGGAAGGCTGTGAAAAAATCTGGTTGCAGAAGATATTTTTTGAGAGAGTGACATGGAAATGGCAATCCCACTGTTCTAACGCGATACAGTTTATTCTGTAAGTTTGTACAATTTGGCTGCAATAAATGAATAAACTACCCACATTATCTTGTAATATTGAATTTTTTTAACACCGTGACAAAAAAATGAGTACGTGTTCAAATTTTATTTCTTTTTTATGAGTTAACATGTCTTTGATATTTATTTTTCTGATTCTCGTAAGTAATTTTTATATAAACTAGAAGGTTGTTTGTGATTTTCGGATTTTCATGTTGCCGCACACGCTATTCTACATTTGTTTGCCATTTTCCCCCCTTCAAACAACCAACATTTGTAAATTTTGGAAAATGTTCTCTTCAAAATCATAAAGCGGCTGAGGATTCAGTGGCGTAGGGCTAAGTTTGAAAATGCGAATAAAGTTTTGTGTTGACGAGGCATAGATCAGATAAGTACATTAAGAAATTTGATTACTCCACGTAATGAGTTAAGTTTTGAAAATGGAACTCGATTTCAAAATGGGGTATTAGTGTTATGACACAAAAAAGATTTGTCCCTGAGCTGAGTATTAACGGTCAAAGACGAGGTAGACAGCTTTCAAAAAGCCATTTTTTCTATATAAGGGAGTGGTTGCCAATGCCAAAGAAGATTCGAGAAGGTTGGTTGAACTTCCATGAAATGATTTCACGAGATTTGGCCAAATGTCTTGATTGTGAGATAATATTCAAAAATAGGTGGCTAGATAGTGATCTTCGTGGTGGCAATAGCAGAATTCGGAAGGTTGGCCGAGGTTCTATCCTTTCGAATGGACCGAGGTCGGCTTAGTGATTGAGAGCTTGCATGATGAAAAAGGTGGGCGTATTAAGCTTGAGGAGGATTTGTATGAAGTGACACTTCGTTCAAGAAAGTTTGAATAAGATTCTATATTTGTTAAGACATATGATAGATAATAAATTTATAAGATTTTAATCCACTGTAACATTTTAAGATGAAAATCTGATTTTCAATAGTAAATTTATCAACAGGTAATTAGCAAAAAAGGTCCCTCTCTGTCATGATTTTTGTGGAAAACGTTTATACCTTTCATTTTTTGGCGCATTCATCCCTACCTTTGCCTTTTCTTGTACAAAACATTATTTTCATCATTTTTTTCAATAAAAAGTTATAAAATAACTAATATACCCTTCTATTTAAAAAAAAAAAATAAAGAACTAATTGCAATCATAGTCCAATTTTTAAAAAAATGTTCAAAAGAATCTCAAATAAAAAAATAAAAAAAGTTCAAAAAGTCCCAATACATATGGGACACGCCATATTCACACCAAACAGCCTGAGCGATTTTTCTGCAGTCGTCCCTTGGACAACTGGCACCAATTCAAAAGTCGTTCGCTCAACCCTAACCCCACCTACCCTTTGCATTTACACCATTTTGAGCTGATGTGGAGCTAATGCTCCAGTTCTAGCTCCGGCTATAGCATCGCTATTGCAACTGTAAGGTCCATTATCATATCCATAAGTATTACTAGGTTTCCTCAAGTGTGAATAATCCCTGGTCAATGGTGGCCCTTATGACTGAAAATGTGGAGGATTCCACGGGTGAAGAGTCATCTTGAAAGAAAATTGGTGTGAAACTGAGAGAGGAGGAATATGAGGAGAAAGGGCAAGCACATCTGCCTAGTTTGCAGAATCTCCTTGAAAAATTGAATCAATTGGAGGTTGGATTGAATCAATTGAACGCACACCCAAGGTCTTATGAGGCTACTGGATGCTCGATTGGTGGCAATTTGGTGGAAAAATAGCTTGGGACGCATCAATTGGAAGAGGTGTTATTACCTGATTGTGCCCGCAAACCAAGCTTGTTTTACTAAAAAATTCAGCAACATTTAAGGCTTGTTTTGGTGATGTTAATCTATTACGACGTTCGCGTAGATAAGGGGAGATGACCGATGGTAGTGGACGACCATGAGTGTCGCCGGAAGTGGTGGAATCGATTTGTATAGGGTGCGAGAAATTGGGGTTGTTTTCCACCAATTTCTGTTTCTAAATTGGATGTTTGGGTTGGTTGTTTGTCGAATTGTGTTGTAGGTGAGAGGCCGTCGGCATGGAGTGTATTTTTCGATGGCCAGGGCAGCTAACGAAAATTGGTGGTGGTAGTGGCGGAGGAGGTGGAGGTGGAAAATTTTTTTATTTGGGACTCTTGAACTTTTTTTAAAAATTGGGACTATGATTGCAATAAGTTCTTTATTATTATTATTTATTTAAATAGAAGGGTACATTAGTCATTTTATAGCTTTTTATTGAGAAAAATGATGAAAATGATGTTTTGCATAAGAAAAGGTAAAGGTAGGGATGAAATGCGCCAAAAAACGAAATGTGGGGACGTTTTTCACAAAAATTATGAAAGGTAGGGACGTTTTGTGCTAATTATCTTTTATCAAATAAGCTTATAATTAGCCCTTAATAACGTGGTTTAGTCTTCAAAAATGAAGAAAGAATCTGAATGTTCATGTTCAGTATTTATTCCTTGAAGTGGTGACAGCGTGGAACTGCATGTTCGGCGCCTCAACTGTCTATCTGTCTTTGGTCAAACTTTTCTTCCCGTCAAAATTAACGGCTCTCCGTCATTTTCCACTGCTTTCTACTACGGCCTGTCGTTTTTCATTGCCGGCTTTAAACGTCTTGCTTCCCACCATTTTTTCTCCGTTCCCACGAGAGCATTTTCAATCGTAGTGTAAAAATTAAATGAGAATTAATATTTTTAAAATTATTTTTGTATCTTTATTTATATTATGATGATCTAAATTCAAATTTTGCTACAATAAAAAGATCTATATACACTTTTTGCCTCTTATGAATGTAAAAGAAGAAGTAAATTTACACGTTTTTGTAGAAAAATGCAATTTATAATTCCTTTTGACCACTTTGGAGAAATTAAAAAAATTTCAGTAAGATAGAGTAAAAAGACTTATTTATCATTTGTCCAATTACGATATTGATGCTAGTGATCATGACCTTGAAATGGAACTGGAATTGCTAACCATTTTGAAATATGAATACAATGTTGAAAATGAACAGATGTCACATATGAATTAGCAAAAAGTAATATTTCCTTGCATAATATGGATTTCAAACATCGATTGTACTACACGTATTTAATAGTCTATATACACATGATATGATAAGATCTGATTGCGTAAGATTTTCTTTAATCAAATAAATAAACTTATTCACTCTCTTTTTAACACATTATTTGTATATAAATTATTATATAACTCAATTATGTATAAGTAGAACTATTTATCAAAAAATTATGATCTGATTGTTAATAATTCGAATTACTTATAATAAGAAAAAAAAAAAGAAACTAATTTCTAGCACAATATTTTATTCTTAATTAAAAATTGTCCATTTGCTGATGTGGTAGAAGAACTTTAAGTAAGGTTTTCTCCAAACGCAAAAATCAAAGTGGGCAAAATAAATTTTCTCATTGTGAAACGGAGAACAAGAGTGATTATTCCTATCTTGTAACAATTTGTAGGGCAGGGAGTGTCGAAGTTAGTCAACATGAGTTGTGATGCCCGACCTTTTTTGTCTATATTCCCATTCAAGTGGAAATATTCTTTCAATAAAAAATGCAAAAAAGGAATGAAAACTTAATCCGTTCCCATGGGGCACGGTGTAAAGCACCGAGTTATACTAAACCCTATCAAGGTCCTTGCTTCCAAATTCCGTAATAATTTTGGCGCCGAAAGAGAGTGTTGTAATTTTGCTATACAAACGTCATTTTCACATTTCTAGTACAACTCCTTTGTTATCCAAAATCTCACCCGCTTGATTCTATGATTTGGATTCCACGGTCATGGATTCACTATAACTTGCAGCATCCAGTTGGGCGGACCCACCAGATATCTTCCATCTGATGCCGCCGAAATGGGAAATTTAAGAAAAACTAACATATTTCGCATAAAAGAGATAATTGCACCATTGGTCAACAATTTATTGCTTTAGTTGCAAATTGATCTTTAATGTTTAAAAATAAGGAGTAGATCTTTGACTCGAAGCATCCACATGAAGCTCTTTAAAAACGAGATGTTATTAATTTTAAAGAGTTTATATTTAAACTTAGACAATTAATTTTCAAATTTCTATTTAATCAAGCCTCTGTTTGGATTAAATAATTTTTTTAAAATAGATTTGGTAAAATTTAATAGAATGTATGTTTAAGAAGTTATGAATCCCTTGAAAAGTGTTATTAAAATCAATTATTGAATTTGACTTAGATTTTAATGGCATTTTTAGCTGAATCAAACATGGGCCAAGTTTTATGAAATAATTTCACTTTTCAACATGAGTCGATGCTAGAAAATTTGAAGTGAAACTTGCTTCTAGGACTATGAGACATTTAAGTAAAAAAATTAGATGATTGTGTAATTAGAAACTAACTG